TCTCCCTCTCTCTCTCTCTCTTGTTCATTATAACATCGTGCGCTTCGCAGGTGGTGAGCTAGTCAAGAATGTGCTTCATGACTACTTGGTACCCTTGAGGCAGTTACAGTATGTCATGGTGCTTGTATTGTTTTTGCTTTCTGCTTTGCAACAATTGTCCTGCCATCTGAGGCACACAATGCTTGCACAGCTTCAACAATGGCGTACAATTCCAGCAGAACTATGCATCCTGGAAGTGCGAGCTATGCTGTGATGCAGCAGTTGGGGCTTGCGCATGAAAGTGCCGCTGACAAAGAAACTGTATTTGTCGGCAATGTTAAGAGGCTGGGCTTCAGCATGCAAACAGAATTGCTGAGAGTTGATTTGGAGCTCCCCGAAGGCTCTGCGAAGCAGTACATAATGCCGATGCCAGCCTTGGCAAGGGAAATTCTGCAGTGCTTTCCAGAGAAGCTATGTTTCGGCAATGACCTGAAGAGTGTACAGTCTCGAGAAGTGGTTGCTCGCACTCTCTCCTCTTTTTGGGAGGGCTACAGGTATGAAAATCCTTCACATCCTGTTTTTACTGATCACAGTGGAAATCTTCAAAAGGTTATTCCATGCCGCCTTCATGCAGATGAAGGAACATCGTTCCGAAAACATGGCATCATGCAAATTAGTTGGGGGCCTATCCTCAAACACCTTCCTGGGTCTCCTCACCACTGCTTCTATTTCACAAGCATTCTTGCTGATGTATACAAAGAACAGAATGTTGGCTATGAACGCGGCAATGCCATTTTGGATGGCATCAGCGAGCACATTGCAATCCATTGTCGGCAACTTTATTACCAGGGTGTAGTCTCCCCGCAGAATGAGCGATACTATTGCGCTTTCGTTGGGCTTGAGGGTGACCTACCAGCGCAGGCGAGGATGATGCATCTGGTTCGGCATTTCACGTGCAGTCCTAATGCTTGTTGCCCGTGGTGCCTAGCGGACGACCGACAGCTACCATATTCTGACTTCCGAGATACAGCTGCATGGGCTTCCACAGTTGGGGCGGAGGTGCCATGGAGGAGGCCATCCCCGTTGACCAAGATCCCTGGTGCTGAGATAGGCGGTTTTGCCTGCAGAGATATTTTTCATTTGTGCCATCTCGGCATACTACGCACAGGAATTGCATCGTTACTGTGCTACTTGTGTCTGCGAGAACATTTTCCGTCGAGTTCCGGAACTGGAATGCCAGCAAGGCTGCACGAGGCCTATCAACACTTTCGCAATTTCTGCAAAGTGAACTTGAAAGAAACGCCACACCTCAAAGACTTTACACGTGAGAATATGGGCTGGCCCAGCCTGAATGAAATGCCTGAGTCATCGATGAGTCTTGGTTGTATACTCAAGCTTTTACTTCTTGTGTACTGTTTTGTATGGTGTATATAAAGTCTGCAATCTCTTTGAAGTTACGACTCTTTCTTATACTTTTGGTAAGGAAAGCATCGGACACGATGTTGATTACGAAGTGGCTGCTGGACTACATGCAGCAGCCATGGCAGCTTGATGAAGTTTCGCTGGCGGCCTTCGCATGGATGGGTGCAATGGACAGTTTTTTGAGAATGTGCTTCTTGGGAGACCGCAGTTTCTTCGATCGAAAGCAAGCTCATGAAGCCCACCGTTTATTGTCTATCTTCGCACGCAAATATATGGAATGTGCTGTTCGATGTCTCAAAGCCAGGGAGCTTTTTTTCAACATTACGCCAAAGTACCACTACATGTTGCATGTCAGGGATTCTTTAAAGCTCATGCCGGGGCGGCCCCTCTACCTGAACCCGGTCATCCATTCAACACAGATGTGTGAAGACTATGTTGGGCGAGTGTCGCAAAGCTCTCGTACAGTTCATCCGCTAGGAGTCCCGCTCCGTGTTGGGCAAAAGTGGCGAGTGTTCACGAAGTTAAAGTGGACGGGGGAGATCTAAGTGAATACCATAGTTGAAGCAGTGCAAGTTTGTTCGTTATACAAAGATCCCTCCGTTGCGCTTTTTGGGCAAGAGGACACTGGAAGATCCAAGCAGTGCTGTGCTCCGCAAAAAGAAGCCTTTGTGGGAAGATGTGCTTAAAGTGACATGTTCGACATCTGCAAGAATAGAAACCAAGCTTTTATAGACTACCAAGCAAATCTAGTTAATCCGAATTAACCAAAAAAGGAACTACAAAGCCACCTACAGGTATAGTTATAGGATTTAGGGTTTTGGATTTTCGGTTTGGGCGTTTTGAGGGTTTCGTGTCATAATTACGGTTTAAGGTTTAAGGTTATGTATCTGAGGGCTTAGGGTTTAGAGTCTAAGAATCTACAGTTTAGGCTGTTGGGTTTGGGGTTCTCGGTTCTAGGTTTTGCATGTCTATTTGAGGGTTTAGGGGTTTAGGGTTTAGGTTCTAGGTTTTAGTGTTTAGAGTTCTGGACTTAAGGTTTACCGGCTCAAGAGTCTTAGGTATTAGGATTTCCGGGTTAGGATTTTGGTTTAGGTTTCGGGTATAGGAACTTGGGACTTTCGGGTTAAGGGTTTAGGCTTGGGCTGGCTTTCGGGCTAGAGTCCTGAGAAGCCCCCAAAACAGGTGCATCGTCGCTGAAACCCAAACCCAAAGGGTCCAAAGGACCTGATAATCATGTGCTTAGGTTACGGATGGAAGTTTTGTATAAACCCTAAACCCTAAACCCTAAACCCTAAACCCTAAAGTTAGTGTTTCAGCAGAGTATATGATTATTAGGTACTTGGACCTTAGGGCCTCGGGGTAAGCCCTAAACGCTATACCGAGGGACCCACTGAAGGTCCTCGAGGTCCCCAAAATAAGAGGCATCCTCTCTCGTAGCTATAAGTGGGGTTATGGGGTTCCTGTAAGGGTTCCTTTAAAGGGTTCTATAGGATTTCGGGTTTAGGGGTAGTTATAAGTGGGGTTAGGGTTTAGACTCTCCATCGGAAGCATGTTGGACAACGAGGACACCCCTAAAGCTCCAAGCCCTAAACCCCCAAACCCTACCAGTAGTTTCGTGCCCTACCCCTTTTTGCAAGTACCTGCTTTTCTATGGAACAGATCCCACTGAAACTAGATCCCCTAAAAAGGGGGTAAGGCTAAGGCATGATTTTCTGGGTAGAGCCCTAAACTGAACACACAGTTGCGGTGGTGAATCTTCTGCCGCAGGCCTGGGGAGTCCTTGCATGTCGCGAAGCATACTTTAAACTACCGTGCTTAGGAGCCCAGGGGGCTTAGTAGGTCGGTTTTAAGTAGGGGTCATAATTCTGGTAACTCCATTTGGCGTACTAATAGCTCTACTTATAATCTACTTTCTAAGTCACCTGGGCCTCCAAGTAGCTACGGTTTGGGCTTAGGTGTATGGGGCAACCCTAAACCCTAAACCCTAAACCCTAAGTTACTTAGGGGCCTCAAATACGTCGAATGCAAGACACCTAAACCCCTAAACAGTCTGCACACCTTCGACTCCTACCCTAAACATTAAACCGTAAAGCCGGAAACCTTTTTTAGGGTTTAGGGTTTAGGGGTTTAGGTTTAGGGTTTAGGGTTTAGGGTTTAGGGTTTAGGGTTTAGGGTTTAGGGGAAGCCTTTTTAACCGCTAAACCCTTAACCCTTCACTCTGCAATCACTGTAACAATGTCTCAGCTTTGCTGCATTGCTTAGGAGCCAAGATACCTGCTCAGTACAATGCAGACCCCGGACGATCAAACATCGTTTCTTGTACGAGGATCCCTGTTATATCCCTTATTACGGGAGAATGGCCAATTAATCAGGGGGTCTAAATTACGCGATAGTAGGTTACTGGGGCTATGGGGTTTATAAGGTTTAGCTCAACTGCCCTGGGAGCTAGGCTTTCAATCCTACTGCGCAGAAATGGCCCAGAACCCCCAGAAATACCCCTAACCCTAAACCTGAGAAGTAAGTAATGTCTTTCTTGGCTACGCGGTAGGATCCTACATACATACCTAGGTAAAACATAGACAGACTATCGGTAAACCCGAAATACCAAACCCTAAACCCTAAACCCTAAACCCTAAAACCCTAAACCCTAAATCCTCAACCCTAAATCCTCAACCCTCAACCCTAAGCTCAACGCAATAAGAACCCTACGGTCCGTGTGAAAGAAGCGCAGGATGTCTCCTGGCGTCTTGATGTAGGGTCTTAATAGTTTAGGGTTTAGGGTGTAGGGTTTAGGGTTTAGGGTTTAGGGTGTAGGGTT